TTCGGAGAAAATGCGCGGACGGCGGACGGACAAAAAAATTTGTATTCGTTTTTCGAATTCTACGCATCTTGAAACGTGAAACCTCAAATTTTGAGAAGGGGTTATGTTTTTGAATTTTTTGGTCGATCACAATGTTTCATTATTGAAAATAATAAACCAAAATGGTAAAGTTTTTATTTTTTAAAAAACTTGTTAGTCCGTGGTACATATCCTTTTTTATCGAATTATTAACATCCGCCTGAAACTTCGTAAAAAGTTTCATCTTATCGTAACCTACAAATATTTTATTTAGGAAAACTCGGAATTGGGGCGTTTTCAATCTAGAGGCAGGCAAACTTTATTTATTTAATTAGGTACTAAAAACTCGTAAATACCCATTTGCTTAATACTTGGATCGTAAGATAATTTGAATTGGATCGTAAGAACTGTAATAACTTTTCACTATTATTTTTTCCAAAAGCCTGTAGGTTCATTTTTTATTTTAATTTAATTTGTTCTTGTTTTTGTTTAATTCAATATAATAATTTTCTTGTATTTTAATGGCCTTTTATTGTAGTTTCGATATGTTTTAATCTACCCTGATAAACGTATACTTTATTTAAGATCACTTAATTATTAAATTGTTTTTTTTTTTTAAATTATTTGATGTAATGTATAATTATTGAATCAATTACTAATTTATTCTTCCACGCCACTGTTTAGATTACATATGTATATTAAACGAGAGAGTATGTTTGTTAAAACTTTCAGTGCTATCTAATATTGGTATTTTAATATTGAAATAGATAGTTTTGTCAATATTAGTTAAGCATACTCTTATCGTTATTTGGCGTATGATATTAAACCCTTGAAATCTATTGGTGCTTGATAACAGACACAATCACACCAAGTAATGGTGATAAACCATATTACGTAGATATATAAACTGTGAGTCTGGGCGGATTACAATAAAGAAAACTCATTTGTTCTTATTCGATGTTTATTTGTTTAAAATTTATTAAGTACAATTAAACAAAATTTCACAAATAAACAATATTGCTTCATCTCTACCAAAGGTAGGGAAGCCTTGTTTTGGTGCTGGAAATTTAAATAAAATTTGTGCTCAGAATCAAAAATTTTTTTCTAAACGGGTTTATTTATATTTTAACATTGTACATAGTTTTAAGTATCTTAGTATGGTTTCAAGAGTTTTTTATATAGATTTTTTTATTTTATTTTGTGTATAGTATGTATAACTAATATTTTTTTTCTTTTTTTTTTAATGACCTATCTTTATCTTAACTTTTTATGTTTGTTTTTATCTGGCCAGATATAAAATTTTAATTTCTGTACTTTTTTGTTATTCTGAAGGGACTTCTTCCCGGGGTAAAATTATTTTTCTATTCTATTCTATTTTTCTATTCTACTTTCGCTTGCGCGCGCGCAAATGTAGTTTTTTAGGTATGCCAAAATTTCAGAAAAGGCTCGTTGGTTTTGGCTTAATGTGGGAAGAAAGCTGAGTATTAGTCAAATAATGATGCTGTTTCAATTTTATTGAATTCCATCCTCTAATTTCTTTTATATGTGCGAAAAAGTATCAACATATAAATAGGCAAACATAAATCGGTTCAGCCCCTTTTACTCCTCTAATATTCAACCGATTTTCTTCCTTCTTTTTTTGTGTAAAACAATTGACGAGCTTTAGTGCTATCAATAAATAAAAATATGAAATAGTATGTAAACAAAAATATAAATGGTAGTTTGTTTAAAACGGCTCATCTCCGAAAGTTCTTCACCGATTTCTTTGAAATTTTGACACAACGTCGCAATAATATTTATAAGTGTTTTTTATACGTTTCATTATGATCAGGCCTTTTCTTTCGAAATGGCGGCCGAAAAACGTGATTCACTTTAGACTGTAGCGATAATACGGCTTAAACGATTTCAATGAAACTTTGCTAAAGTCTTCTTGAAACCTTTATAATTTATATATATGGCATACTTTCCCGAAAACAAGCTGCATAAATTTTTATGATGAATTCAGTATTTTATTTGCGAATAACTCAAAAAGTACACTTTTTTTTTTTCGATAATACCAATATTTATTTGAAAGCTTTCTGAATTTCCTACAAAATAAAAAAAATCATGAAAATCGGACTATTTGCTGCAGAGATATGTCATTTTAAAGATTTAGTATGTTTTATTTTGCAAAGTCGATTTCCATTGTTTTGTTTTTTTTATAAATCGAAAATTTTACATATAATGAAGTAATCTGGACTATTATTTGAAGATATGATATCATAGAATGTTATTGGAATGTTCTAAGTAAATTCTATAGTTGTGCTCATTCTTAACTTGAATACTGCACAAGCATTAGTTAATGAAACACGAATGAGAGTGAAGTACAGACGGGAGCAATTTTAAATCAAAGAATTTGAATCAGTCCTATAAACAATAATCTAGTACAGTGAGGTCTGGTGATCTTGGTGGCCAACTGATAAGACTCGGTGATAGAATATCCTCTAATAGTCCTCTTAATCGAAATGTTAATACATACATGAAATATTGTTTATATGTTACTGTATGAAATTTAAACAAATGAAATTCGGAAGTTTTTTTTATATTTGAAAATCGAAAGTTTCGAAATGAAACTTAAGTCAAACTTCAAGTGAATGAGGTAGCATTTGTACAGGGGACCCTACACGGTCAATCGGAATTGCACTAATGTCGTTCCGAATTGCCGTGTAAGGTAGTGAATGAAGTACTGATGGTGGAGCGCTGCGGATTTCCGAACATCCGGAAATCAAAGGTTCATTCACGAGAAGTGGAGGGGGGGCTGAGGTAAAAGTAGTGGGGGGGCTAACCATACTGCTGGATAGGTTAGGTTACCTAGGCCTCACAACCATTATAAATTTATGATTTTCATTATATGTAAATAGTTAAATAATTTTTCATATCCCTTGTTTATATATTTAAACCATCTTCAACTATTTCTTTTAAATAGTCAAGTGGGCAACAAATTAAAAAAAAAAAAATGAGGAAACTTCACAATTTATTTTAGGAAAAAAAAAAACTTTAACGTTGTGTATATTTATCAATTCTTTTCCCATTTTCTTCAACAAATTTATTATTTTCGCAATACTTTTCCGAGTAGACTTTAAGTAGTAGACTTATATTATTCTAACTTTTGTCAAAACGATTTTCTATGAGACTAACCTTACTACTAGATAGGTTAGTTTACCTAGGTCTCGTTATTAAGTAAATAATTTCATAAAAGTAAGTAGTTGTTTATATCCCTAGTCTATATTATTATTAACCATTTTTAACTATTTTTTCTTTAAATAGTCAAGTAGGCAATAAATTGGAGAGAAAAAAAAGTGGAAACTTCACATAAGTAATGATCAGTAATGATTGGACGTGTAAGGGTCTTCATGATCAAAGCGATAGCGGGCAATCTTGGCACTTCTTGTGACGTTCATTCATGAATTACCGTGTAGGGTCTGCTTAACCTCTCGAGTGAATTTAACTACGGAATTTGCAATTTGATGAGATATTTACAATGGCTGACTCTCATAGAATCTAATTTTAATACAGTTTTATATTTGTGTTTTTTCCAATTCGAGAAGAAGTAATTCGTCTGAAAAGCAGCAATAGACAAAACGTTTGCCGGCTACACGTTCTCTAATTTTTTTAAAAATTAACCCTTTGCCTTAATTTTTACTTTCACTTACCTATTATGTAATATATAATAAGTATTGCGATCGTGATAATTTTTTAATCAGAGTGTTCAATGAAAATACACGTTTTGAGGTCCCCTAAGTCCAAATAGCCAAATTCCGCAAAATGGTCTGTATATATGTAAACAGTCTAGCTTAAAAACGAAAAGTACGAAACTGATATTACGTATTTAAGATAGGTATATGTTTTAGATGTGACAGCAACTTTTTCCTTAAAATCGCCTAACTGGAAGTGCCACTTCATATCAACGGTGAAACAAATTTTTACAATTTTCTTAAAAACAGCTCTAACGACTTGGATTAAACTCGTTGTATCATTGTATAATAAAGTGGTCTTTTTAATATCATTAAGGTTTTATCCCCATTGATATCACTTTACAGGGCTTAAATGCCTAATGTTCATATATGTCTTCCTCTAAAGCGCCTTTAATTTGGTTTATTATAAATAATAACTATTTATCATTGTTAGGAGTAATAGAAAAAGCTAAATATAAATTTTTGAAGAATTTGAAAAGGGGCTTTAATGCCCAATGTATCTTACACGTCTTCCATATTGACAGTAACTATAAAAATCTTCTCCATCTTTTGCCTTTTCGATTGATTTTTACTTCATCGGAGGCAATTTCACTACTACGGTAAATTTTAGTTATCCGGTAGGAAATACGATTAATCTCGAGAAATGAACTTTTTTGGGCTTTAAAATGCAGGTATAATTCCTTCGTTCGTAAAATTTGAAAACATCTGTGTTTTTAAACTTTTCAAGTTTTTCAATGACTTTTATTTTAAGTTTTAGAAGGACGAAAGGATTGAATTTGGAATTCGCTAATTCTCAATGAAGTTCACTTTCACTTGTTTGGTACCTCATTCATGAAAATCCATCACTCCTGAGAGTGAGAAAAAACGATTTATTACTACCGTATTATATATAGTGTAGATGAGATAATATAATATCATTATGAACTTTTAAAAAATTTAAAATTTTATTATTTATTTAATATATTTACATTTAAAAAAAATTAAATTAGTATGTATTGGAGCAGAAAAGAGTTAGAGAGCGAGAAAAGTGATCCAGAAAAACATTAGCAATCCCTAATATCTATGGCTAAAGATTATAATGTATTTCATATTAATATTTTTATTTTTAATATTTATTTTTTCTCTTTTCTTACTTCCTTTAGCAAATTATAAAACAGGTTTTTTTACGTCCTGGAACATTTTATATATATAAAAAAGTAATTTTCCTTATCATATATAATAACAATCGATATTTTTATCGCGCTATTAATGAAAAATCGATATATTGCCGTTGTCCTAGCTAAGCCGACCCCCCTCGGAGCTGAACTCAACAACTGGGCGAGAGTCGGGGCTGTGTGCTACGCCCTTCCTACCAATCAATGGGATACCCCACCCTACTCTACTCCAACCCCCCCAGTCCTCTCAGTCTTAGCCTGAGTATATAAATATAATATAATACCATGTATGTATATATATAATAATATATATTCAAACTATCTAATCCATACAACGCATCAATGGTCCTAAAAACCCCACTTGTATGTTTATTGTAAATTTTTCACGTGCTGAATATTTTCATCAAAGAGGTTCGGGTACAGATCTGTTTAAAAATAGAGTTAATCGATTTCAAAAATATAACTAAATATTTGTGTTTGTTTTTCTCATATTTACACAATCGATGTTTGTTTATTAAATTGTAAATTATAAAAACATTGGGCGTTAATGACTATGATTTTTCACGCCCAGAAACTGTATATGTTTCAGACGTTGGTATATAATCATTTTTATCTTAAATAGAGTTAATTTAAAACATAAGAAATGATTTTAAAAAACCTGTTCCAGTACAATATGTACGGAAATATTTTTCCAAGGTACACGGTTATGCAGGGAGGTGATCAGTCCGAGAACACGCGTAACCGCAAGGTTTTTCCCTTAACTAGTTATTTAGAATAGAAAATAAACTTTATTCTGGGACGATGTCCCCTTAGAATAACAATAATGTACAGTTACAAAAAAAAAATACACATCCGGCCCAAAATTAACTTAATAAAGATTTAAACAATATATACAACAACTTAAATAATAGTATGTAAATAGTTAAAAAATGAAATAAAATCTTCTTAACTATATTTATAATTTTACTGGAAAAAATAGCAAAAAGAAAAGAGAATTACATATATAGAAAGAAAAAGCAATAGAAAGCAATATATATGTATCAAATTGAGGAATGTAAGAAATGAAATACGTCTAAAATATACACACAATCTTGTAGATGGAAAAAAGAAAAATGAATAAAAACAAGTGCTATGCCAAAAGTGATAATGAATCTTTCGAATTCATAAATAATAAACAAAAAATAAAATAAAATAGTGGTGTAGGAAAAAAAAATAAATGAAAAAACCAATGTTGTTAAGATTTCACACTTTATAGAGGTTTTCGGCGGTCCCTCGTCTTAAGGAAAATACAAAATTGATGCGACAGGATAAATAATAACCTAACAGTGCATTGGAGAAACGTGCCTTACTTTCTGAGCTATCCCATTGTTAAATAATGTTATTTTAAATTACATGTAATATGGGGTTAGCATAATAATGTTTACCTAAATAAAAGAAAAATATATTTAGCCCAAACAGGTCAGTATGAGACCGTTCAACATGGGTGGAACAAGAATTATCACCATAAGTTAATCTTTAATTAATGATAATTTTATTTAATTTGCCTTCTCTTCGCAATCGTGATTTGATGAAATTTGTGTGATGTGCACGCCGCACTATATTTTTTAATTATTTTGAAAATAAAGTTATCCGTAGAATATTCGAACAGGAGATTTCAGACGGTTACATAACGCCGAATTGCTTGAACTGTATCCGGTTAATATAATTGAGTTGACTAGCTGCGGATTCAGGATTTAACTTTGGGGGGACTACAAAAACTTTTTTTTTTCATTTATGTAACGATAATTACTTAAGAAAAACAAATAAAGATACTAGATGAAATGGTGTTTAAGTGATCTTGAAATCTTGTTAAATGTAATTACATGAGCAATGATACTTTAAGAGGTTATATTTCACTATAAAACATGGTTACATTGTACCATTTTGGGGGGGCTCACCAACGTAGATCCGCCTGTGATTTTAAGGTGATTGCGATTGCATTAAATGGGATTTGTGAAATTATCGGACTTTGTAAAGAAAGGTAAACGTCCGAGGGGTAGACCGAAGCGAAGGTGGGAAGAAGGTGCGAAGGAAGGTGCGTTAGGATTTATCTGAAGGGACCGGTAGAGGGAGGTGCAGACAACGATTGGTGTTGTCGGTATCGAACCTTCGAATTCCATATTATTATTATGGTTTTAACAGATTTTTATCAAAGATGTCATATCGTTAAAGCCCTCAGTTGATAAATCCCGAAATGAAATCAGTAAAATGTTAATTGGTAATTATAATTTGAACGATAATCGAATTGTCTGTGACTAGCTTTACTTTGTTATTATGGGCCGCTCGGTTGGTAACAAACGTATAATACGCGCGTCGGATGCGAATTGGCTAGTGGAATAATTTTTGTGTTTTGGTTTTCAAGAGCGGGTTAGGGAATAATAAGGACGTCTTAATCAGGAGCTAGGTGTGCGGGTTCGAGTCTTGTTTACGGCTAGTTTGTTCCCATTCGTTCTGGAACCCTTGTTGATTATGTTTCAGTTAGCGTGTTATGTAAGTAAGGTAGATGTTCATCGGTGATAGCAGGCCGGTTAACAGGAATTTTCTACGTTAATCTGAACACAGCTTTATAGTATGTACTGCCAGACTTTTCTTTCTGATTGGGAGGGAGGGGCGATGGATCCCTCTCCCCCCCCCCAAAAAAAGACTCGAAAGTTGATATTATGTATAAAAATTATGAATGGCAATTAACATAATCAACATTATATATTCTTCCATCCTTCTCTATCTAAGGCTTATTCTTCTCTGATGCCAAGCTTTCTACCACCGCGTCATTCAATTTTACCTTTGGTCTTCCTTTTTTCTTTTTCCCTTCTACTTTCAGATATATGCATAACTTTGGGGTAATCTTTCAGCCGTCATTCTTTTAACATGCCCAAACTAGCATGATCTTTACTTTTCAATATTTGCTTCAATACTTCAATATCCAGAATTCTTTCCCTTCTGGATTTTCTTGCTGCTCTTCTTCAAAAGTCCATCTCTGCTGCTTTCACTCTTTTCCAGTGTCTTGCATTGATGACCCATATCTCCGAGGTATATGTCGTTATTTGCTCGAATATAGCCTTGTGTACTAGCCTCATTGTATTGGGGTGTATTTTCGAGCTCCAAAGGATACTGTTGAGTATTGATTTACTTTTCTTCCTTCACTAATTATCCTGTCGATATCATTAATCTCTATTAAATATAGATCCTAGGTATTTAAATTTCTCTACACTTTTTATACCTCTTTTAATTGGCGTGTCATCTATAGTGTTATAGTGCTATTGTGTTTTCATGAAATCAATACTCAACCTCCACTTTTCATATATCTCGACCTGTCTATCCTGGGCTAAGATTACTTGAATTCTAAGTTTAAGTAAAACTTCAATACATTTCTTTAGGATGAATAGGATTATTTCTTTAGTATTTTTTAAAAAATTAAATTATTTATATACTAGTAGGCCCGTGCGAAAAATTCGCACAACATAGTTATCTAATGAAAAATTAATAAGAATATAAAAAATGCAATGTATCAAAGGATTAAGACATCAAATGTTACTTTATCGATAAATATAATCCACAAAGCAAACAAAAATTAATTTAAATCTTCATTTTTGTTTGGAACCAACATGTTTCGAAATTTCAGTAAGCTGTATCTTTGCTAAAAATTGTCCGATTTCGATGATTTTTTTTTTCCTTTTGTAGGGAATTTAGTAATCTTTTATATAATCATGGGCATAAAAGTGATAAATATAATAAAGATTATATAAAGGGAAAAGTGTGTAATTTTTCAGTTATTCGCAAATAAAGTTTATTTTCTTTCATAACTTGTTTGCCTGAATTCTCTGGGTGATTGGACTATTTTGCCCGCCTGAAGGAGAAGGAAGCCTTCGAAATTGGTGGCTCAATCTTAAGATTTGGTGAAAAATTGACGATGATATGGCTTGCCGATCAAAAACACCATCGATAAATAAACTCCTCCTGTCTCGATCATAGAGACCTCAAGTCGACGAAATGAGACATGTATTCAATGACAGTACTACAATTAGAGTAAGGTTGTGTGGATGCGAACCCTATGCCTTGCGTTATCTCGAAAATAGCACGTTTTCAGGGTTAAAAACGCAGGATCCGACAGTTGCGGAGGAACTAACCGGGTCTTGGTGTACGCATAAAAATCTTCAAGATCCAATTTGTCCCGTATCGATCTACAGACCTACCACCGTTCCAGTATCGAAGCCTAGGAAAATGTTTGTATCGACTTTATTTATTTTAGAAAGAAAAACAAAAGTGGAGAATACGATTCGCTAACCCCCCGTGAAATTCTGAATCCAACGGTACCCCATTCGTGGTATTTGAGCATGACAGGAGCTTATATTTAGTACAAAACCGATTTCGAGCCTTACTGTAATAATATATGTGGGGATAGAAGTAAATTTCGCTAATATTTCTACCAGTGTGTTTGAGTAGATATGTATGTACATTCGCTTAGAAAAAAGGATTGAGGTATTTCCGTAATTTTTTTTTAATTGCATTTTTTTCTTTGTTGTGTAATGGGTAAAACCATTCATTAACAACAATAGTCTAGCTCTCATGGTCGCTGAGTATTCCATCGAAGTATTAAAGGATAGGGATGGGTTCCATTCGATCTTTTTGGGGTACATGGATAGATAATCGATGTATTTTGCTATTCAAAGAGAAATATAGCTCTAAAATGAATCATTTGAGGAAATTAGGAAATCTGGAGCATTATGGAATTGTTATTTAAAAACATTTCATCCTCGTAATATCTATGTATCTTCTCTCTCACAATGGTTTCAGAATTATATTCTGACATTGAGGAAAGGATAAATACATAAGGTAATTGCTGAATCACCTTTTAAGCTGTGAATTCTCCAAGTTTCTGGGAAGTACAGGAAACTACAAAAAGAATAAACGATGTGTGAGGAGGACGAACATAACCGTAATTAAGGAAATAATAGAAGAGGTGTGAACCGCATGATATTTCCGCCACATGATGAATAATCATCCACCTAACCTAAATGACGAACAATCACTATATATATATGTGTGTGTGTGTGTGTGTTTATTATTGGAAAATTGCAGCCAGTCTTTAAAATGCAGGAAAATAAAAATATAATCCGTTATCGTTTCGCCAATTCAGGCGTCATCGAGACAGAAAACCAAAAAAAAACCAACGCAAGATCACCGTAATTTATAATCAAATAGGTGATCAGCAAATATAAAAAAATCTGGCGCGGTGCGCGCATCACACAACTTTCACTTATCACCATTTTCTTAGTATTTTAATAGAAGCAGAAATATGTATTTTCAAACAAAGGGAAGTGAAAGTAAAAATTATAGACGCAATATTTATTTATTTCATTGTGGGTATTTTTATTTGTATAAGTACCCTTATATATACAAATTTTAATATTTATATCGCTGTAATCTATACAATTAAATATTAAATAATACCAACAATAGCATTTATGAAAACCGCATATGTATATTTATATAATATTGTCGGAGTCCGTATTATATTAAGCTCATGTTACGTATGGAAGCTGTTCTAATCTTTCGGCCGAGCTCGAGTGCGATCGTATTCCTTTGTTTCCTCAATTACAACTATTCTCCGTTAGGACCTCTTATTTCTCCTTTAGTTATTTATCAAATTCATTCATATTTTATATTTATCCATTTTGTATTACGGCTAACAGTGATTTCAGTGATTTTAATGCCTACATGATATTAAAAACCCATTAATTATATAATTATGTGATGAGTCAAAATTAAAATTATTTAAGTTTTCGAAAAAAATTTAATCAAGTGTAGAATTTTTATTTTCTTATTTTTTTTTAGTATTTTTTTTAGTTATCACATAATAACGCACATTTGATAAAAAGCCATGCAATGTTTTGAGAAAATTACTAAATTCCAAGTTTTCAAAGTTGCCCCATTCTCATGGAAGGATCAAAGCTTATACTTGCCGAATTTATAGCATGTCATATTTCGAAATAAATTTTTATATTAGGTAAATGTACCGACAATAGACACTTTAAAAGAAATTTTCAACATTAATGTTAACGGCAGCTTTAGTTCTGAAGGTGAATCTTTACAAATGGGTTTAATTGGAAGCAAAGTTAGTCTTGAATAGAATTTGTTTTTTTCTATACAATCAATGAGTTAATTATTCATGAAAAACTCAGGAAATTCTGACAGCGTATATTGCATCAGTAAAAGGCATCGAGGTTTTAGAGTCAACAATTTTTTACATAATTAAATGAATGTGGAATGAATCAAAATTTCAAACTTAACTCCTAAAGAAAAGTGATAAGGAAAGCTCCCCCAAACATCAAGACTTGCTCCAGTACAAATCTATTACCAATCGGCTATTGTCGTATGATATTACCTGAGGCTCAGGCATCACCCTCTTAATAGTATCGGTACTGTATTAAATATGAATCTTTTTAAATTTGCGAATTCTTTTGGCCGTATAAAGCTCATTATATTTTAATGGGTCGAAAACTATCTGTTTCTGGCACAATGTCTATTACTGATACGTTTACCATAGCTAAATAAAAAAAATGTTTATTTTTACTTAAATATATGTATTAAAACTTGTAGATTAGGGCTTCACCTTAATAGTAATAATAAAACCACATATTTGATCACCATAATCCTACTTTATTTGTTTTTTGTTTTTTTCCCACAAACATTTCAGCCCTTTGGTTATTTTCAAGAGAAGAAACTTATTTTAATAATTGAAAATCATTATGGACTTGAATCGCCATTGTCAACATCATTTAATTTGTCAAACACTAAAACCTCCTAAATGTTTTATTTTTACTTTTATTGGCTTGTTTGACCTTAATTCAGTCAGTGACACACATTGATATTATCTGATGATTATTTGTTTCCTAAAATACTGACTATGGTTGAGGGCAACAAAATTTAGCTGTTAAAAATCCTACTTCCTGCCCTTTGTGGTACGAAGTTGCCAAGTTGTAATTATCAAATTTGAATGCATCATAAAATTAACTATAAAGAAGATACTAAAAGGAGATTATATGCTATTCAAAGTAAAATAACAAGTCGGTACTTATGAATTGATGAATAGGTAGGAGACACTTTTGCAGACAAAATTCTCTTATTTCTTACCTTGTGTTACCAGTGATATGGTTAAGAAAGAACTGCTGGGTCTACTAGAGTCCTGCTTTTCCCTTCTGGAGGGAAAGGCTTGGTTCACAGTTATCTTGATTAAATATCTGTAATATAATAAGTATGCCCGTATCTAAATTGTTATTTTGATTAATTTATCTATAAGTTTCTTTTTTGTTTATATGTTTATAAATAAATATTTATATTTATTATTATTACTTACATTAAGGGATGAGCAGCGTCTTAAGGTTTTTGAAAATAAAGTATTGTGTAGAATATTCGGACCGAAGAAGGATGAGTTAACCGGAGAGTTCAGACGGTTACACACCTCGGGTAATATAATTGAGGTAATTTCATCGCGGCGAATCAAATGGGCTTGTAAAGTTGTTGGGCTTAGTAAGGAGAGAATTCCTAAAAAGTTAATATTTGCTGTGCCGAATGGTAAGTGTCCGAGGGGTAGACCGAAGCGAAGGTGGGAAGATTGCATTAAAGCCGATCTGAAGGGACTGGGTTTGGACGGCGAACGGTGGAGGGAGGTGTGTAACAAGCGATTGGTGGTGTCGGCATCGAACCTTCGGGTTCGCTAAGCCTTATTATTATTATTATTTATTATTATTAGTTTGCTGTTATATTTTTCAAAAATTGGCAAAAAAATCTTGGTTTTCTTTGGAGGAACTTTTAACTTTTATGGATAATAACCTAAATACCTATTAATTCTAATAAGTTAAATGTTTGTTTTGTTGTTCATAACATAATTGAGTGAATATCCTTGAAACGCTATTGACAAATAACATGAGTGAAAGTTAGGTCCTCTGTAAACAACTTATGTTTTCTATCAAATTGTTGTTGAATTGTGCAACATAGGGCTGAAAATTGAACATATTTTTCACTCTAATCTGAAAATTTATTAGTTCCTTGAATATATATATAGATACTTTAAATGAGAGTATTACCTTTATTACCTTAGTATAATCATAGTTATTTTAATGCTATTATCAGTCTCCCAACTGCTTCCAGCAGCAATGCCAGATACTACGTACATCTGCAAGTCCAATAAAATACTACTATAATATAATAAGCTTTTCAGTTGACAGAGTGACCAACTCTGATTACAACATTTCTGATTTTTAATTTTCGTGATGTTTCTTGTGAGAAAATTTATACCTTTATTCACAGTTCTATATTTTCAACACTGCAATCACCTACTCTGGAATCAAATTACAAACGAATCAAAGGTTCATATAGTATTATATATTGACCGCACTCCCGACTAACTCCTTCTCTAACTCATAGTTATTTTAATGTAAAAATCATTTAAAAATGAATACAAGTTGAATATTTTTTAAGTGTAAATATTTACTTTTTATTTCAAAGGAACTTTTCCTATATACCTGAGCTCTCTTAAGAATTTCATTGATATTTAAGTGGCGTAAGTCCATTCGTAGCCAAAAACATATTATTTCTTAGTTGATTGTAGTTGTGCTGATTGAGATGATAAATTTTACATCCTTAGACACCTACATTATTCTATTATTTTATTTATCTTTTACCCATATTTTTAAATTTGATCGAAAACAACTACCAACCACACTCCAGCTCTTTTTTATCTGCCTGAGAGTACCATTTATATATTTCATAGCTTTATATATATTTATATGCCAGAACAATCTCATTTCTATTGATGTTATATATATAATTTTTCTTTCAATTTTAAAATCACTCCATTTCTGAATAAATAAAGTCTGGTTGTTCTGCTTTGTAGTTTGATTAATATTTATATATTTTACTTATTTATTAATATAAGTAGCCATCAAGATTTGTTATCATATCCTATTTGGTCAATATACATTTTAAGAAATGTGTGTATATAAATAAGAGATTTTTTTTTTCACTTCTCTGAATCCTACATTGTGTGATGGTAAAAAAACATTTCAATCTTCTTAATTTTCTCTTTATTTAAGTTTTTTAGTAATGTTACGACTTCCTCTGGTTCAAGTCTTCTTTCTTTATATTTTTTACATCTAATACAATTAATTAAATTACTGTAGTTTTATGTTAGTTTTTTTTTTTGTGAAAAAAAAATAGTTGTAATGATAATATAATTTATCTTTTATATATATTTTATATTTTTTTTATTTATCATTTATTTATTTTCTGCTCACCAGGTACTGGAGAATCGGGTAAATCTACTTTTATCAAGCAGATGCGAATTATCCACGGTTCTGGGTATTCGGACGAGGACAAGAGGGGCTTTATCAAGCTCGTCTACCAGAATATCTTCATGGCGATGCAATCTATGATACGAGCGATGGATCTCCTAAGAATCAGTTTTAATGACCCCGTAGAAATGGTCGTAAGTAATCATAAGACAGTTCTTAACCTATATTGTTACTGTTGTACAATAAATTTCTTCTATAAACTATTGTAATAACCATCTTTCCCATCAGTCAAACTGGTTGAAAAACAAAAAATTTTAAAACTAAATCGTCTGGATAAAACTTTTTGAGGATATCTACTGGTGTTGGGATTTCGGGAAACTAATTCTTAGGTGACGATTTGTGGCAACAATAATATGTATATATGAAATTTTAGAATGGGCGAAATCATTTAAAAGGAATTGGACACACTTGGTTTTGTCGATCTTCAGCTGTCTACTCTATATATCTTGACGCACATAGAAAAGCTAAACAAAAGAGAACACATTCACTTCTGATCAACACAACTATATCTATTTTAACAAATTAGTCAAATAATGAGTGTTAATTAAAAGTCTCCTAATATTTCTTCTGAAACCTTCCTCTTCTAGATGAAAGCTCGAGTGGAGTGTTCCTCTCTCTCTCCTCTTTACTCCAACGTCCCTCTCAAACTGCTGTAACCTCCTGGACACTGTTCCGAGCTCCTTCATTCCTTTGTCCTTTGTACTTCTGCACTTCCTTCACCAATTGTTTATACGTTCACATTTTACACTTTCCACAAAACAACTTGTCCCCTGCACAATTGAGTCTAATTCATTGTGCATTCACCGTTCCTGGTTTATATTGAACATTAGATCAGATATTTTACTTGGGTTCTTTATATCATCTAACACTCCAACCACCTGTTTTTCTCCATAATTGATTATTTAATTATCATTGCCCATTTTATAGAGGCTGGGTATGATTCGAAAGGGTCTCACCAAATCAGAGTCAATTTAGGGCTGATGAAACAGAATAGATAATTACCTGCCACAGTGGGACTCGAACATGGAATCCAGAGCACCGGAGCATGATGCCTTTTTTGCTTCTCAAGTTGTTTTCCGAAAATGTCTCTTCATGAGGCACCTATTAAAAGCCTCCAGTGAAGCCCTGATTAAGAAGTAGTGTTTTGATTTTTTATATGGGATCCTGTTGCTTACGAACTCCCATAGATTTGTTCTCTTACATTTTTTAAATGTACATTTATCAAAAACATTTTTTTGTTTTATTTTTTATTGAAAGTCTTTTAACTTATTGTAGACATACTTTCATCCAAAGATAAGATTAGGGAATGTAATATATTACTTAACATTATACTAGTGAATGTAATATTTTATTAAAATATGAGAAACCGACTCATTGGTATAATTGATTTAATGTAGTGTTCCGATTACCATAACCTGCCTTGATCATTAATTTCTTCTTGACTGAAATAATGTGTTGCTTTATTAAAATATCGACTCCGTGGTTCCATCTGCTTTTGAGGTCGATGGATCTTTTGGATATAACCTCAGTAGTATTATTTCTCAATTTACTTTTCATATTTACTTTCTATGTATTTATTTCTGTTTTGAAATTTGATTATTTGTAACATAGGTATTTCCTTACATTTTTTTATTTTTTCATATATTTTTTATTTTTGGGTCTCTACTTGGACAAACAACTGACATGGGCAAACCACAAAAAAGAAAAGAACTTAATCAGCGATACACACTTCTACTTAACAGACGTTATAAATTATCGTTGACTAATAAATTAACAAGTTACAAAATCCTAACTAAACCAATTTGGACATATGGTATCCAGCTATGGGGAACAGCAATGAAATCAAATATAAAAATAATTCAGTCAGAAGTCCTCCAGAAAATTGTAGAACCCACCCTTTTATGTTTCAAACTTTACGTTACACACTGTCCTTGACGTTCCTTTCATCATGGCAACTGCTACAGTCCCCTTTAATAATTTTCATTGCAGACTCTAATGCTGACTCTAAATTCAAATCTCCGCTTACTTAAGCTCTATCTACTGCAACAAATCCATGTAATCCACCCAGAAGACAGCTGAGACGCTGGCCAAGAGACTTACATTGTCTCTTTTATTATATTATTAGAGACTGCATTGAGCTACTTGCTGTTTTATCTTTTGCTTCTGTGTTATTATGTTATATTATTTTCATTTTATTTTTTATACTATTTATTTATTTTTTGCTATATTTTGTTCTCCTTGATATCATATTTGCTGAATAAAGAAATAGATGGAAAATTTATTGTATGGCAGAAATATGTCTAACTTAGAAATAAAAATGTAATTTGTAACCTTCCAGGAGTGTTAACCTTCTGCTGGAATCCATTAGATCATTCCTAAACTCAGAATAAATTGCTGTCCATCGATGTTTTGTTAAAATCACCGATGGAATTAGCATTGAGTTTTGGAATTGGTCCTATTTATCCGTGGTGAAAAAATATTCAATTTTATTTACGCATTTAGAAAATATTTCCTTATTTTAATAATCGTAAATGAATTTATTTATATTGTTTTTGTTCTTAAAGTCGTCATTGTTTTAATTTTTTTTTTTTTTCAGGAAAAAGCTGAGCTGATACGAGGCGTGGACTTTGAAACGGTAACGACATTTGAAAGTCCGTACGTAGAAGCGATAAAAGCACTCTGGGCCGACAAGGGTATTCAAGAGTGTTACGACAGGCGGCGAGAGTACCAATTAACAGATTCTGCCAAATAGTATGTTTTATTTGGTCTATAATATTCACATTCGCAATAATTATAAACTTATTTACATAAGAGCCATATAATAATCTGTTGGTATAATCAGCCATTCCATGTCAAATTAAAAAAATATATATATATTCCTAAACGTTTTCCTGCAATTTTTAGAAAGATTTTAGTTTTATTTATTATTATACAATGCAATCTCAGTAATATAAACTGGTGAAGAACAAGAAAAGAAAGAACAAAACAAAAAGAATGGAATGCCTATTATATTAAGAAAAACCAAGGAATAATAACTTTTTTATTGAAACATGTTTGATTCTATGATTTTTAATTTGATCGTAAAGATCTGTTGATTCGCATTCCACGTGGAAGTGTTTATTGAATAAAAATTATGAGTAACAATGAAAAAAGTTTTAGAGAGTAAAACTTCTGAACTCTTGGAATATACAAACTGATTAATTTAAAATAATTTATAAAAAAATATTATGTATTTTTATTAATAATATTTTTGCTTGTATTTTAATGATTGCGCATTTTTTTCAAAATTTATTTGTCTAACGTCTAAAACAAAGTTTCTGATTTTTCAGAACTATTAAAAATTATTTCCTAGTTCCTCCCCATTCTTAGCCTCCATAGATCTAATTTAATAAAATTAATACTCTTAATTTACACTTTTTTTTTTTTAAATTTTTATTTGGATATTTTGGGGATGTTTCGCTCTCCCTCTTCTTTAGCATTTAAAATTATATAAATAATATATTATCAGTTCTTCCTATTTTTTTACATTTTTATATGCTTTATATTAATAACAAATTATGAATATTTCTTTATTAAATTATATCTATGAACTAATAAATATAAAAAAAGATTTCAACCATGAAAATATAAAAGAAATATTTTTATTTGACAGATAATAAAATAAAATTATTATGTTTATTTTAAACGCTTCTGCGTGGAATGTACACTACTGAATTTAAAAAAAAAATTACAATAATCATGATAATATTTTTAGAAATATTTTCTAAACAAAGATTTTATTTTTTTTGTCTTTTCATTAGTCTGCAAGATTCGGGGCCCACTCAGCCAAAAGGCTCGTAATTATTAATACGTCTTGATACTACTGAATTATTATATTTGGTTTGAGCCTTATTTTATAATGCCAACAACATTATAATTGCTAATGCAAATGCAAACATATTTTTCTTAATTAATTGTTTTTGTTGAATCGTCCAAATCTTTCTTTTTTTCCATTTACCAAATAACTTAAATTGTAATTATATCATTACGACTATCTAATCATATAGTTATATCAACACCTTATCAACTTTCACAACCAACTATATCTTAAATTGTTATTGGATGTCACTGCCTTATTGATTGACTTAATTTTAGAGATTTTAAATAACATAATTCCTCTTGAAAAACTGATCGCATATGGATCTTGGTAGTTGTTCTATTTTATTTAACTACATACAATTTATTACAGATTCTAAAAGTGATGTTATTTCTTAGTAGTTCCTACGAAGTTATTTCTTTAAATATATTGTGATTAACAATATTGCATGAGTTATAATCTTATTAATTAATATTTATCACATATATTCTCAGTTTTAATAATGTTTATAATTATTTATTAAGAGAATTGGAATAAACTGAAATAGGTGTTGAGAAGGTGTGCCTAATCCTCTACGGACTGTAGCAAAATTTCAGCCATACTTTCTTAGTTTCCTCTTACATTCAGTTGGCATCAAACAACTAAACATAAAATAAATAATATAATAAATGAAACATTTAAATATTCATATTTATGGTTGGTCATCCTATTGGGAAAAATATTGTAAAACGTGTAAATAATATGTAACTCTACCTGAGGTTACAGTGTATGACCTACTACGGAATTAGCAGTTAAGATATTCACTATTTCAGGGTAGACAATAAACATACTTCTTTGAAACATATCTTCTAAAGACTTCTTAAAGTTAATTCCATTATGGTAATTATATTATTTTAAGTAAATTTTTCTTTATAATGACAGTAAAAATTGTGGGGTTTCACTGAAGTAATCCTTTTATTATTTATTTTTTGTTCAATGTTAGACCCACAGAAGGATGTAGAAAGCAGTTTCAATGGGATTGATACATAATCCTTCTTTAAAAAAAAACTTAAATTAAAAAATTCAATTCTTTTTTTAATTCCGACCTTCCCACTCTAGTTAAAATAGGTTTGGTTGAACCTCTAACACAACCACATCTTGTGCCAGAAATGGTGAGGTAGCGGGGGAGTAAACAATAAAAAAAGAAATGTTATACAAACAAAAAAAAATATATATTACAAACCCATTTTTATCCCCCCTTCCCTTCCCTCCCTTTTAAGATAATGAATCATAATTATAAATGAATCTTTAATTCATTTAATGATTTATTTTTCGTTCATATGATTTATTTAATATGTTGTTGTTCGATACGGACTGAAGTATAGAGGAGAACTGAGGAGTGTGGTTGAGACTCTATAATGCCTAGTAGAGGATTGTATTGGCAAATCTTTCGTCTAAGCAATCTTAATCGTAAGACAACATCTATTTCTCTTTACTGCAAATCTCTTTGACGTGAGTAACAGAGTAATGGAATTGAATAGAAGATAATGTTAAAAGTTGACTATATTGAAAATTAGTTAAGGTGTTTAGTCAACGATAAAACAAAATAAAAATAAATAAATTTTATTTATTTTAATTTCTTTACTGTCAAAGTTTTAGCCATTATGAAGGCCTAAAACTTAAGCCTTAAAGTCGGCACAAGGGAAATAACAATAAAGATAATTTATTTATTATTACTTAGATTATTCCTTGACTGAACACTCCAACTAACATCTCTTCAATGTTAAAAGTTGCATGGAAGTTTTCACGAGAGCCACACCTGTTGGTGTAGCCGCCACCATGTTGACAGAACATGAATGAAAGATGGAAAATCTTCGAGGATTTTTAACTTTTAATGTGTGTGATCCTAGTTATCTGATGGAAATCGATCGGGTCGCAGCGCCAAATTATTTACCTACGGAGCAAGACATCCTCAGAGTCCGAGTTCCAACAACCGGGATCATTGAGTACCCTTTCGACCTAGAGGAGATTCGGTTTAGGTAACCATAACGACCAAAAAAAGCATGCATGTCCACCACTTTTGCACGGAATCAACCTGCAACTAACTGTTTTTCCCACCTTTTTTTATAATTTTTTTTTGTTTCCACGCATTGTTTTGATATTAAACCTGTCATTGAGGAAAGCTGAGGTTTGTGTAGGAATATGTTTTACAATTTTGTATTGAAATTTTTTATGTATTTTTTTGCATGTTACTGAAATGCATGAAAATTAATTGCATTATTTCATATTTATCTTCTTTTTTTTAACTTATATGTGTTCCTTTTTTTCTGTATGTAATAATTAACATCATACATATAATTTTTTATTTATAAAAATAAAAACTACTCAATTTATATTATAGATAAAGGAACTTCTGGAACTATTATTTTTCTGTCCTCTCTCCAGAAAAATTTAACACTTTTATTATACAGTGGGACCTGTTTAATTTGAACTTAAAGAGGCCATTGAATAATTTTTTTGTTTAACTTAAAAATAATATTTTTCTTTAAATTGGTAGACCCCTAAATATCATGCTTTGCCCCCTTCTGCCTCATTATCATTTGTCGAAACTATTATTCAATAATATACTATGTTTAGAATTATTTAAAAAAAAAAAAAAAAAAAGAGGAAAGAAGCTAGCTAGTTTTTATATGGCCTCTTCTAATAATTAAATTACTTTATTAAATCATCCGTATTATTTAAAAGGTTTCTTGTCGGACAGGAATAGATTTTATTCTAAATAATTTCTGCAAATATAGTTATAAAACTTTTAATTGTTAAAAATAATATGTATGTAATTATATTTATATTTACAATGAATTTGAAATAGCACATTTGTTTCAATAGTTTTATTTATTAAATTAAATAAATTAAATTATACTCAAAGACAAAAAAAAAAAAAAATAGAAGAAATACGACCATTGTATTTGATTTCTTGTTTTTACATGCATCATAGGTTGTTGTATTAATTAAAGTTTACTTATTTAGAAGTAAATTAAATTAAATGATATCAGAAATTTGTGAGTTTCTTTAGTCTTTATACATAATTAATTATCAGAGATCTTTTTTTATTGGTTCTCCGTATTTATGTTAATTCTTCATTGCATCCAATGAATTAGTCATCATTTGAAGATTGGGTGATTAGAGCATCTTTTCTGTCCGGTGCGAAACATAACCAATTTCTCTCTCTGAAAAATCATTAAAAAAGAAACTATTTGCGCATAACTAACAAATTATACAACTTATGGTTAATTATTAGACTGATGATAAGTTAAAATATTTCTGATCTAAATTTCCTGCAAAACATTAATAAAAAGTTATTTTAATTTTACCATTTTTTATCGAAGATACAGTCAATACTGATTTGTACATGTTTTAATTTATTATTTTAAATGAACCATTGTCATCGACTAAAAAAAAGCAAATTAATTTCCTCCCTCTCATAATAAAAATGAATTGATAAGGTAGTTTGGACTTTTTTGCCATGACATGGCACGATATTTTTTAGAGGCAACTATAAAAAGTGATGCATTAATGGATACATATTGTTTCAAACATTAGTTGATATTTTTCTTATAATGTATAATAGAGAATTATAGCAGACTTCGAATTGTTTAATCTCTTTGGCAAGAGTGGGCCCCATCTTATTATTTTAGATTTTTTTTTAAAATGTTTTAATCCCAACAGAAAATTTTATTAATTTAAATCCTTCATATATGTAGTGTTATATTATTGTTTAGAATTCTGTTTGTTCAGATAAGGGTAGTTAAATGTGCATGAAGCGTATATAATTTTTTTTGAAAAAAATGATTGTTCAATGTTGAGCATCCTTTCAGCTCATGTACGTTGCTACTATCTCGTTTTTGTGTTCTATAATGCATGTTGCACGGGAATGTTTGGTTAGCTACTTGGGCGACCTGGAGCGTATAGAGAAACCAGATTACCTTCCGACGGAGCAGGACATCCTGCGTGCCCGAGCTCCTACCACAGGCATTATCGAGTATCCATTCGATCTTGATTCGATTATTTTTAGGTATTTATTTTTTAATATTAAATAATAACAGGGCTTTTGATGATATTAATATTTTTATTTATAATTTATTATGTATAAGAGGTTAATTTTAAGATAATAGGCCTTATCGTGTCCAAATGGAAATTATTATGCTTGATGAAGGCTTCATTTAGTAGTTTTGTTTTATGATTTTATGCAAAAAGATCTTGCTCTTTTTGTATTTAGAAAGAATTTTGTTATTATGTAAGTCATTTGTGTATTGTATAGACATATTCCATCTTTGTATAGTTATTTCTATATTGAAAAAGGCAAATTTTATTTGATCATTTATTCGTATTGTAATATATTTCTACCAGATATACTAAGCTATCAAGATATTGATTATTATTTTTTAGTTAGTTCATTAGAATAAATGATTAATACACAATCCTTTCTCCTCCCGTATTAACTACAAATCCTTCACTAAGTAACCTACATTGTATTGAATGTTTCTTCTCTTTCTCCGTTTCAATATCATCACTTTTTCAGTTTCCTATACCTCCTAGACTCAAGCATTCCTATATATTTTCCCGAATTTATGTAAGTATTCGTAAATGGTAATTAAGTTTTGTTATTATGTTTAATTTGTTTATTTTTAATGTTGTGAAGAAAATTATAGTTAGTGCTGAAAATATTGGGCTATAGTAAATTATTCTATATGGTAATTTATTCTCAGCATTTATATAAATTTATATTGAAGTTTTTATTTTCATTTTTAATTATAATCAGTCATTAAATGGAAAAATGGCGTTAGGAAAAACTGAAGATTTGAAATATTAACCACTTTACGGGAAGTTATTTCTAGATAACATAGAAAAAGAATAGCTATTTTTTTGTAAGCAATGACAGCTTACTTTCTCTGTTAAAAATAGATTTTATTCTAGCCTTAATTTTTTTTTTTTTTTAATTTTCAATGCAAAAAATATATCCTAATTTCGGTTTTGGATCAAGCAGACTTTAGAGTTGTTAAAGTTGAAAGTTTTGGTACTCCACTGTATTAGGCAGTTTTCCTGTGTTACCTGTCTATCCAGGATTGGGGAACTTGTTATTTTGTTGGGTAAACCTACTGTTCAGTGCCAGATCCCAGTTCCTTGTGCATAAATAAATAAATATATATATATATATATATATATATATATATATATATATATATATATATATATACACAATGATAAATGATTTTGTCATTGTTCCTTATAATATTTACTTATTATTAGTATAAAACTTATGCAATGTTTTTCTGTGATGGTTACTTTAAATAATGATTTATCAAGTATTAGTCAGGTTAAAATATATTATGGAACAAAATAAACCAGTTGTTTAATCTATAAAGAAAACTGAAGTTGATTTCACAGAGGATTATTTTTTGGTACATACATGCTTTGAGTACTTTTTCTCGGACTTGTATTATGAAATTCGCTATGAAAACAGACCAATTTAAGGTTTAGCATTTTTCTGGTGAAATAATTAACGATTTGAAACAATTTGTTTATTTTTTAAATTATATTTCAGTTTGACAGATGTCTGATAAAATTATTATTTGCAATTAATGTTTGGACAGTATGGGAATCGGGATAAGCTGCTTTTTAGGTATTAACAGTACTTTTTTTTAATGTTTTTGCATGTTAATGCATGTCAAAGTGTGGTAATGTTTTTTTTTTTGTATTATAGGATGTGTAGTTGATTATAGGTATGATACAACACGAGTTCCGACTATCTAAGTAGACTTCACTCGCATGTCCAGTATGGTTTTTCTATTCAAGGCGCATGCGGGATACAGGTTTTGGAACGGAAAAAACTGTATTATACATGCCGTGTCTAATAATCTAAACATGTGTTGGATCAAACCTAATTATGTTAAATATTTATTATTATGTTTAGTATATATATATAATTTATAATTATTTATTTTTATTTTTTATATTCAACTGGTTTAGTTTTAAGTAGTTAAGAAGAGAGATTAGGGTAACTCAGGGGGATGGTAACTGCTCTATTCTGTGCCTGAGTACGCATTAGTGTGATGTTAAGTATTATAATATTGGATAGTATCATATTACTGCCACATCTTCTACTGACTACTGAGTTAAAGTGAGCTGGACTCACCGCTATCTTCCAGTCTCTTATAAAGTCTTTGAACCACGGAATTTTTTTCACTAGCCAATCGAGGAAACACCTCAATGAGGACGTAATTTCCCATGGTTCTCATCAGCGTGGCTATTAATCCGTCGAAAGCAGTAAATGCCAGGACCAAATGCTCGAAAGTCTCTGGAACACCACAAGTGGGACATTGGGGATCTATATCTTGTCCTAGGCCATTTAGTTTAGCTCTAAAACCCCTTTGCCCCATGAGGAATTGTGAAACCCAATAGTCCAGGAGTACCTGTGACCGAACGAGCTAATGCGTGTGCACTGCACCGCCGGGGGTCTTTTAAATCTCCGCCTTCACCCTTTGTCCTGGGAAAACCCTGTATAGCCTTAAAGTCGAGGAAGGGGAGGATCCCCCAAACAACAAAACTTTATTGTGGGCGGGGTGGCCAAGCAACTGATTAGTGTGTAAAATACGCGTCACCTGACTACCTGATAAACTAAAGATTGTGAGTTCAAATCCCAGTGCACAGAGGACTATTAATCTCTGGTCCAGGAAAAAAGGTGTATAGCCTAAGAGACGAGGAAGGGGAAATACAATAAAAAAAATCTTTATTATATTTTAAACCAAGATGGATATTTTCTAGATAAACCTAAATATTTTTTTTGACACAGGGCATCTTGACTTCTATGTTTACTAGGAATGCTTAAGGCTCAGTTCTTATGAAATTTAAATAAATTACTCAAATTTCCTCTACTAACTTCAATGGATAAAAAAGTACCAAAATAGTTTGCACCATTTCCCTTGAATTATTTTCCTGATTCAGTTAGTTTTTTTTATATTTCACAGTTTACTTATTACAACTAATCAATAATTTGTAATTTTGATTGCATGATGGGAAAAATCTTAGTTATCTAAGTACCTAAATGTTCACCTTTATTCTTGCCATGGACTGAGTCCACTGGGGCACAGTCAGCCTCCATTACGTGGCTAGCTCTTTATGCTCGGCCCTTTATTAAAGGCAGCGGATGAATACAAAAATAAATTTGTAGTTCAAATTACAACTCTAATTCAAAATTAAATCTGTACTATTATGTGATTTGATTGTTTCAATATTATTTTCTAAATGTTAGCCTAAAACTTTAACTTTACACCTATGAAATTGTTAATTTTTATATCTTGATATTACTCTCAAAATATGTCTGTTTACAATTATTACGAAATTAATTATTCTTTATAAATAAATTTATAGGATGGTTGACGTTGGAGGACAGCGTTCTGAAAGGAGAAAATGGATTCACTGTTTCGAAAACGTCACTTCAATTATCTTCCTTGTAGCTTTAAGCGAATATGATCAAATTTTATTCGAATCGGAAAATGAGGTATTTTTTAATTTTTCATAATTCTAACAATTTAAAATTATATATATATATTTATGAAATTCTTTTAAAGATTTTTCGGTGGTACATACAAAATTCCTTTTTACCATAAAATAAAATATTGGCTGTGTTTCTTAAATATTAGTTTTTATTATGATATAGTTTATATTATTTTTTAGGATTAATAAAATTAAACAATTTTTTCATTTTATTTTTAATGTAAGTTTTAGCAGCTAAAGAATTTTTTTCCTGTATATATGTATTACCATGTTGATAATTGGAAACTATATATATTAGTTAAATATTAAAAGGCATAAGAAAAAATATAATAGTTTTTCAATAATTTATGGTTTGGTCCTGTCAAGGATTAATCACTGCTCGACGGACATTTCATGATATGAGATACAAAAGGAAACTTTCTAAACTTACCAATGGAAATCAGTGCATCTCTTTATTCATTGATGGAATCGCTTATGGCTCTTTAGTTCCATAAACTTCAATGGATCTACTGGATGTTATATACTTCAGCGTTGTTATTCCTCAATTTACTTATATTTACTCAATATTTATATTTATATTTATATTTAATATGTTTTGTTACTCTCCATGAGTGTTAACTTTCACCATGAAATCCAGCAGGCCCTCTCAAAACAGCATGAATTGCCGCTTCCATTCTGTTGTGTCTTGATTCAATTAATTGATTTCATCAATAGAATTAGCGCTGAGTCTAGAAACTTTGTCATAAACATCTATAATTAAATCCATATGTTTAATAGAATTAAAGGACAATAGTTATCTGTTTTGAAAAATCAAAAGCTGTTTATTCATTTATATATAATTGCTAATAATTTTATTTATTTTTTAAAATAATTTTTATTTTTGCTTTCCAGAATCGTATGGAGGAATCAAAAGCCCTTTTCAAGACTATAATTACCTACCCGTGGTTCCAACACTCTTCCGTTATCCTTTTCCTCAACAAGAAAGATTTACTCGAGGAGAAGATCATGTATTCGCATCTTGTTGACTACTTTCCAGAATATGAAGGTAAAGTATTTAAAAAACAAAAAAAATTTTAAGAGTCTAACGCTGTAGAAGCATAAAATTTGTTCATTAAAAGATATCTAATTTACATAAGACATATTATTTATCTGTCTTGTTTGATATCACATTTTTAAAACACATTATTAGGGCCGAAGCAAGATCATGTTGGCGCTCGCGAGTACATTTTGAAATTGTACAAAGACACGAATCCTGACCCAGATAGGATGTTATACTCTCATTTCACTACGGCGACAGGTGATTCTTGCAGAAGAAAAATATTTAGATTTGTATTTTGTGACACTCGCATATCCTATTATTGAGCACTTGTAAATTTGTAAAATTTATTGCTTAATTGTTGTACTTCTGATCTAAGTAGGAATTTGGTGGTATAAGCTTACAAATAGCAAATAGTTTAGTTCGTCTAAAAGCTCCATATGCGTTGTGGATTTTATCTTTACAATGTCAAAAGTCCTTCGGGTATTGAAGAAAAAATGCAAGATATCGATAGCAAAAGATTCAAAAATTATTTACCCATAGCGAGTTAAAGGGTTAAGGTAGAATTATTCAAAATTATATCGCAGTAAAAATGCTAATTTTTTTTTTTTTCAGTCCTAAATATGGAACCACGTAGATTTATGGAAAATTTAAAATGAATTGACATTGATTATTACTAATAAATAAATTTTGTTCTCCGAAGAACAATTCATTTCACCAAGTCCATAGGATAACATTTTTAAATGTTATTAATTGTCTTGTAGTCATTAGTCCCAGTTAGAAATAGATAACTTTCTGCGCATTGAAAATAGCTCATTAACAGACATTCGGGAGTAGGGTAGCTCAGCAGTAGTACGTTGCCTTTCAATGCTCAAGGTCTCAGGTTTGAATCCGGCTGATGACAGGTAAATTATTTATTCTGATTAATGGGCCATGGATTGACCCTGGGGTTAGGAGACCCTCCTGGGCCACATCCAGCCTCTATGAAGTGGGTCCCCTTAATTAAATAATTAATTAAGAGGTAAAACTTGGCGGTTGAGCGTGATCTTGGTTAAATCACCTTCCTGCACAACCCTTGACCAAAAAGACAGTACTTCCTTATAAAGTACTGAATCCCAGATCCTTCATGGGTTGTAGTGGTACAGTTTTTTTTTAAAAGATATTTAATTGGCTCTGGTGTAAAATTTATTTTTTTTTACATTTGACATCATTACCTCTACATAAAAGATTGCGAGATAATACATGCTGTCAATCCTCAGTGGCAGGAGTTTTTATCCTTGACATTTTTTTTTTGTTTTTACGGATCCCATCCCAACTATTATATCATGTTTATTAGAAATTTAGTAACAACAAATACAGAAAGCCCTTTACATGAAGGATCTTTATTAAACGATTTATTTGAATGATAATGAAAAGTTTTGGGTATTTAAAATTGATTTGGGAACCTCCTGTAATGGCTACATAGACCACCAGTACTTCGCAGACCACAGTTTAGGGGCCTTTTCTCTGGATCATTAACCATACTCTATTTTATAGTGGTAATGGTTGCAAAAATGGTTTCAATACTTCTCTTTTATGGTTTATCCAACTCAGAATCGATATAAATTCTGTCATAATAATATAGTTTTAACAGAAAATATTTTTTTATTTAGGTGTGGTAGATTTATCTTAATGTAATGATTTATTAAAAAGTTGTTTAAAGTAACTTTTTGTTAGAATGGTAGTTTTTTTTGTTTTATTGGTTATAAACTGGATATTGTTTATAATGACATCAGATATAACAATGTATGGATTATAGTGACATTTTTGGACCCCTAATTCTCATAGCATTATTTAAAATATATTTTTTGTCAGATATAGCAACCACGGTTATGAGAACAATGATCGTAATGAACTAATATGCTGACCCATCGAACCTTAGAGGTCAGTTTTATTGGCAGAATTCCTGCAATATATCAGAACATCCTGAAAAAAATAAAAATCCAATTTTTTCTAAAAATGTTTCTTTTACTTTAAACCAGAGATCTCCAAACTTTTTGCTTGCTCCTTGGGCCATATTCAGCCCTCGACTAAACCCCATGGAGCGCATTAATACCTCGACTAAGTCCTGCAAGCCATGGCTTTTGATGAAGAAAAAAAATCTGAATAGAAATGAGACTGATGACATGTCGATGACACATGATAAGGTGGACATGACAAAAACAAAAATTTTTATTATGAGTAGTAGACGCATGCAATTCGCATAAGTGAAAAGGACAGGTACATGATTGGTATTTAGACTTGAAAATGGCTCAATGAGCTGAAACGTCATAATTAGATGTGTAGTCATTATTTTGACAATTGGTGTTAAATTGGCTGATAATAAATAAACTTGAAAATAAATAGTATGCACCGAAGAAGAATTGGAGAAATATTGTGAAAACAAATCTTGTTCTATAAATGACACTTCAGTTGTGAAATGAGCTTTCTAAGAGAGAGAGAGAGAGAGAGAAAAAAAGAAACAAATGTTGTAGTAACCTCTGGTGTGAATGATTTGCTAAATTTCATATTTTTTAAATAGCTTTTAAAATTTTACCATGAAATCAAAGAAACTTTCACAAGCCAGATTTGGCCTGTGGCCATAGTTTGGAGACCCCTGCTTTAAACCATTCTTCAGGATTTTATGAAAATATGTGAAATGTTTTATTATTTCTTTCAAATAAGGCGAATCACGTCTAAAAGAAAAACTTTCAATCTGAAGAACTTTATTATTTGCTACCATTTTGAAAAGGCAATTCCAACCATCCATTTAGAATTGAATAGAAGTTAATTAGTCGATGAAGATTAAGTTATAGCACAAAAAAGTCCTGCATTTTTCTAATGCATATTTGTAAATGTAATTAGCATTATAGGAAAATAGCTACATCACGCGAATGGAGACACGGCAACATCAGTGAATGCCAGCTCCTAGCTCATACTGTTGGATATCTTGTAATTACTGGTATTTGGTGGGGGGACTAGTCTGGCAACTGGGCCAAATCATAGTTCTTTTAGCCAGCCCCTGACGACTACCTTGAGGTTACTACCACATACTTACCAGGGTGGGAATGTCAAAATCCATTTCCTAGTGCCGCTGAGAAATGAAAATTAACTCGGTGGCACTTGGCGTACTTGGCCATCCTGTCCTCGATATATTGTATTTATTAATAGGGGGCAGGGCAAATTGGGCTAAGTTGTTTGCAAAACATGCGTTGCAGGCAACATGATAAACCAAAGATATGATGATAAAATATCTAATGGTCTAATATGGTTATGTTATTAAATAATTTATATTTTAACGGTCATAATAAAGTATTGACCGAATATAACAACTAAATATGTCTGATTCCTTAGAAGTCATTTTAAATGATATCCAATGAATATTTCATTCTGTAATATCTTGTAAATAACTCCTTTTTTTTTTTTTGTCTTTCTTTTATTTTTCATAGGCTAGCAAAAAAAATTACATTGTTAAAAAAATTAAGAAAATTTCATATAAAATCTACTGTTGTTATTTGTGATTTTTGTTGTTTGCCTATGTCTTTTTACAGTTGATTTATATTTTATAATTTACATAGTTTAATAATAGTAGTTAACTATTTCTGTTGTGTATTTAGGTCCGCAACGAGATGCGATAGCAGCCAGGGAGTTTATACTCAGAATGTTCGTTGATTTAAATCCGGACAGTGAAAAGATCATATATTCACATTTCACATGTGCAACAGGTAGATTTGTCGAATCAACGTTGTTGGCATGTGAATGGGAAACGGAACGTGTTGCTAACGCATTAACCTGCATGTGCTTAATCTGTTTATTGCTTTTAATGATTTAAACATCTTTTTAAATTAATATAAAAATGTCTTTTATCTAATATTTTGAAATTAATTTTTACCAATATTTCACTTTTTTTTAGAAGAGAATAATTTATATTATTATTATTATTTGTATCAACATGAACGATTAAAATATTCAACAGGGGACAAAAATTAAATGTTAAGTTATAATTGGAAAAATTCCACAAGAGCCTTGTGTTTCTAAAATGTAAATAAAAAAAAATAAAAAAACTAACTAGTCTTAGATAAAGTAAATGTTATTTAATGATTGGGTTTAAAAAAATTATTATTACAACTGATATTATCAGTAAACTGTATTTGGAAAATTTACTTTCCTAAGCAGAGTATGTTTTAAGTCTTCTCATTTAAAACATTGTTTGAAAACTCTGTTTTGTATCAATTAATTAGGTCAAAATTCGCAAAAATGTACTTGCAAGTTTAGCCCTATCACAAAAATACTTGGTGACTTTTTGCAATAAAACCAACGATTTTTTTCTTCCCACGGTAGCGACCTCTATTCCATACTGCCAACACTTCATGCTTGTCTATTTCGGTTGTTATGCACACCATCGCGGCTAAATACTCTCGATTTAGCATCCTAGTTTGAAATAATATTAATTAAATATGTTAGCCTTATATTTAATGGTTTTCATTTGTATCGGAAAGGCACCAATACACATGATTTCGATCTTAGTTAATTAATAATTGCCATTTTTTCTGCTAGTTAAAGTTGAATAACAAGGTTAGGTCATGCCTGCTCTACAATATTATGATTTATAAAATTATGCACTACACAATGTGCAGGTTCCATTCTATTCCACTAAGGCGAATTAATACCTTAAGAATCATTAGTTTGCTCTTTATCTACTGTTTAGATTACAAAGCTATTGGATTTTTACAATAATAATCTAGCATTATTTTTTATCTATAAATAAGATGAAAAATACATTAATTTATTAGTACCTTATTCTAGTTTTAATATTATTTTAATTAATACTCCTTAGTTGCAATCTGAGAAATATTTAGTGATTAGGGAAGCATATTAAAGTATTTAAGATTTATTTTGTATTTAATTTAAAATTCTTTTAAAATAATCAGTTTTTGGTATTATTGGTAAAAATTAATAATAACTCACTTGACTTTAAAATAATAAAAAAAATGCTCATTTTATCTCTTTTATTAATTGGTGTTGCATGTTATTTTAATGTTGTTGTTTTTTTTTTTGTTTTCTTTTCTTTTCTTGTGCATGCTAACAGATACTGAAAATATCAAGCTGGTCTTCTGCGCGGTGAAGGATACTATCATGCAGTCTGCTCTAAAAGAATTCAACTTAGCTTAAATGTAAACGCAATACCACAAATATCGAGGCAAAGTGTTTCATTATTTGTGGTTATCGCTTGATAAACAAATGCATGTATATTTGTATGCGCCATTTGAAGCTGTGCTGGTCATTATTCAAATAAATCTTATTGAATAATTATTTAAATAAAAATTTTATTTGTTGTTTATTATTCCTTTACTTATATTTTTGCCATTTATTGGACCATTCACTAACCTACAAAATATTTCATTTGATATTTTCCTAATTAAATTGCAGCTATTTTTTTTTTTTTTAAATACAATTAAAGTTTGTTCTCTACTAAGTTATAATTTGATATATTTGTTCGTGTAAACATTTTCAAATTTAGAAAGTTCTAATTAATTGATGTCACCTAAATATTGAATGGATATATTTATACAAAACGCAATAAAAGTAATTTTATAAGGGAAAAAACCTTACAAAGACAATGCCAACTGCAGTGTTTCACCTGAATATTCTGGAGGGTGGCTTTCTATGTTAATATTTCAGAAAAGTGGGTCAAATTAGACATCAATGATGAACCAGTGATTAAATAAAAGAAGAAAAAGGAAAGAAAATCGGTTCTAATAGTTTATAGGATACTAAAATTTACAGAAAGGAACATCTATGCAGAAATCATTTAATAAACCAAATGAATAAAAAATTTAAATAGCTGGAACCTCAAAAAAAAAAAACTTATTTATTTATTTTTTATTTGTTACAATAAATTAGGCCATTTTTCACCAACCTTTTATTATTACGCATCAATTTAACATTTCGACCATACTAAGGGTCATTTTCAAAACTTGATGAGTCCTAATATATTCATCCTTAATGTTCACTGAACTTATTAATTAGAACATTAAGGATGAACATATTAGGAGGACTCATCAAGTTTTGAAAATAACCCTTCGTATGGTCGTAACGTTTAATTGATGCGTAATAATAAAATGTTGGTGAAAAATGGCCTAATTTATTGTAACAAATAAAAAAACTTCAAGACACCAAAAGTAAGAAAAATGAACAGAAGTTATTTATTTAAATTATTGGAGTATAGAAGCGCTTAAAAGATCTTGAGATTGAAAACTCTTCGAAATTAAATAAAAAAAATTTTTTTTCTGTATATACTTTTTCGTTATCTTTTTTTTCAACCAGTTTCAGCTTCAGGCTTATTTATGATTGTCCTCTTCTATTGCTTGTCCATTGAGGACCCAGATCCAATCGTAAAAAATCCTGAAGAATGTCTAATTAACGAAACCAATGTGAAAAAGAATAATAGAAATATATATAGGAAAAAAAATATTTTTATTTAATTTGATCTCAGTCCTGAAATATTAAGCCTCAATTCAAGAAAAACTATTTGATTATGGACTTCGAAATGAAAATAAAAACAATGAAGTTTATTGGCATATCTGTCTGATACCATTCCTCAGGAAATCCTAGCCATCTTTTTTGCATGGAACCAGAACAGGAATATACACCGGGAAATTAATAGCAGACGTGCCGGGCCGTCGACCAGAAATGAATTGCGTTAGTCATGAAGCAAAGATCTGAAACACAATGTTGGCAGAGAAACTACATATCAGTTATTTTACCATACCCTCAGTAAATAAATACAAAGAAAAAAATTATCTCAGGAAGAAAAAAAAAAGGCATGAAGTAAAATTAAATACTGATTTGCCATGATGTCAGATAAAGATGACCGTCCTGCTAGTTATTTTTTTGATAGACCTGATAATCTAAATTTAATCACTCAAGATTTATGTCGCTGACAGATTCTTTTATATTTTCTTTCTAACACTTATTGAAAAGCATACTTATCTCTTCTTATTATACAATATTGTTATACTTTTATTATTTTCTAAACAATATTGATTTATACTTTTCTTCTATCATATTATTATGCTGTGCTACATCTCTTGTTGAAACTTAATTTATTCCTTCATTTTTCCTCCATTTTTCTCAATCAAGTGCCTGCTGCCTTCCAATTTGGGAGGATTCTTCCCGTCCAAGCTTTCTCTAAACATCTTGGGATTTCGTTTGGATTCATCATGACGTGATCCGTCATAGTCTGCCTAGTTTAATGATTTGCACCATGTCTGAATCTTTAGTGTTGAGCTCATTATATATCGTTAGATGGCAGAATCAGATCGTACATGTTGATCCTAATATTCTTCAGAGAATTTTCTTTGAGAATTCAATTAAACAACTTTAATTATTGTCCACATTATTGTGTCATGAATTAGTCTAGGACTGGATTAATTAGTATCTTATATATTCTAATCTTTGCTGTTCTTGCCACGAAAGGTTTTTCGGAAGGATGACATAGCATCTGTTTGTTGAAAAGATGCGTCTATTTATTTTTTCATTCATAATGTTTTGAGAATTGATTTGGCTTCTCAGGTACTCAAATTGTTGTAACCCCTGTAATCGAATTGTTAGTATTTCTACATTTCTTCCTGCTCATGTTAAGGAGAATCCGTATGAATTTATTCAATTATTCATTAATAAAATTTCATAAGAAAAAAAAAATTAACACAGTGCATAATACCCACTGCCATGGTGATCGCTGCTATAGGTTAGGTGGATGTACACATGATATCATGTAGACAAGATGGTGCGGACGGGCACAGGATTTGAGATTCCTGCTCTAGACATTCTTTTATTTCATCTTGATTTACAAAAAAAACGTTTCTACTTCACTCTCTTGCTGGTATTTATGAATTATTTTTTCTATTGATTCTTAAAATATCAGATCTGTTAAGCTCTGGTTGAACTGTTTCCTTTGAAAATTTTTCTATAGTTTTAGCCACTACGTTTTGTGATTCAAACAATACCTCTCATAAAGTTTCTTCTCTAGTTCCTTCTATTTCTTCAGTTTTTCAATACTTTTCGAACAAATGTAATCTTTGGGCATTTATGAACGTTTGTTATGCATCTAATATTGCTTATTTACTGGTAAATGCAATACTTACAAACAGAAAAGCCAATATTTCTTCTTCCTCATCTTATTTTCTTTTAAATTTATTTTGATTATTTTATTTTATTTGTTTAATTAATACTGGTCTATTGCAGAACTAGGATAGGCTAGCCCATAATATGAATACATTTTTAAACTGATTTTTGATTAAATAAAATAGGATTTTTAATGATTCCATTGAAACCTTAAGTATTTAGTATTCGCAAGGATTTCAATAATTTAACACCAATTCAAATAAAATATGCTTTTATCTTCATATATTATTTCTCAAAGGTGTTTTTTTTTTTTGTCAGAATGCCATATCACTACTTTTAGTACAAAAGGTTGTACGTAAAAATTTAGTTTTTTTACATCTTAACTATTATTTCTTCAAACTGATATGCAGTTGTTTGCTCTGATATGGGCTTGTTAATATAGTTTATTAATATAATAAACCAATTCAGTTAATTTTCTTTGAAGCCATTTTAAGTAGTAATCAATAAACAATAATGATTTCTCCAGATGTTCTATTCCTAACTTTTTTCATTATTGGTCGTCTAATTGCAAACAGCACTTGATTTTCAACTTTTTTGA